TAATGTTTTTTGAGTGAAGAGTGAATTTTGTAATATTAGGTGAAAGCAGTCTGGAAACCTTAGTTTTCGTAAAACTGGATTTTCGGTAGATTTTTAAAAGTTTTTGTAAAAACAAATATATCCGTGAAGCTTAGCATGGTCGATTACCCATAGTCCATCAGTTTTTAAGGCTACCAATAGTCACCGGGTGCCAGTCCTTGGACTAGTAAGATATCCGATACAGCGCCCAAACCGCGGAAAATCAAGGTCTCACTTTACTCGGATTTTCGAGAGGACACTCAGAGCTATCAGCCCGTGAACAAAAAACAATACAATCCTATTGGAAAGTTTTCACAGACGGTCTAGTTTTTCAAAGATCTTCTAGAAAACCTGTTTCAGAAAACTGTTCTGAAACCAATGCCGTTTATGAAAACGTGCCTTCAAGTCTCCTCTTTCGATTGGCGAAAACCGTAGATCTTTACCTCATGCCTGCCAATAGTTATTCAAAAAATGGTCGCACGCACGGACTTTTTAAACGGACAATAGCAAATATAATTGAAACTTTATTGCTATTTAGACACTTCTTCCCATAGCTTTACAGGTTTCAACAATATTTATTAGTTTGAATGGTAGAGCTGTCTGCAAAGTTTAATCGTTGATTTTACCTTTATCTTTTTGATTTATCGCCTAAACTGTGTGTTAAATATGGATGAGTTAAGGTGAGGGATCTTTGCTCAGTTAAGGTGAGGGATCTTTGCTATGCACGTTGGCTTAGTGAAAAAGCTAAAAACAAAGAACACATCATAATCAGAGATCAAAAACATCATATACTTTTTTGTTTTTATTTTACGTTTTCAGAAAAGTGATTTCTTTTAGAAGATAAATAATTAAAGTATATGTCTATATAAAATATCTAAAAAGTTAACTGTTTCAATGCAGGAATATTTAGTATTAGAGAAGAAAGAAAGAGGGTTCAGTTGTTTTTGTAAGGAAAAAAGTCTATTAATGATAGATAGCCAATATACGGCTGGAGTTGCTTGAAGAGTATAGCCGGCAGATATTGAAACATTACAAATATTACAGTTGGAATAATTTCTATCAAGTTTAAAATAATAGTATTAAAAATGAGAACATGCTGAACTGCTTTTATGGGTAATAAATGAAACAGGCGCTTTGGCATGTAGGACGAGCAGATGCTGTCAGAAGAAATATCAGTGTCGAACGTGTCATGTATTACAATTAGGGTTGTCAGTTGTAATGATCTGTATAATAAACAGTTTAGTTCACATTATCTATTTTAGTAAAACTTTGATGTATATTTTTCTTTACTTTCCTTTTTTTTCGTCAGGCAAAAGTGATATATATACATCTTTACATTCAACTTCTATACTATGGAATACATCCACATAGAGAAATTATAGGAGAAAAGAGTACGAGTTCAAATGTTAAGAAATATTATTGAAAATCAATACGGTGTTGGTGTCATTTGTACACTTTTAGCGTGTGAGTTCCTATGGCTTTCTATCTTCAGAGTTTGCCCATTACACAAGATGTTTTTGTTTTAGAAAACTGACTGCTGCATTAGTCTAACTCATATCATTTTGTTTTTTTCAATATTGAGTGTGCTAGTAACAGTGGCTGTGTGAATTTGGATTCTAGATCTGGAAAACAATTTCATGAAGTATGAATACATAAAAATATCAGACATGTGCGTAAATTAATAACAGGATACGGGACATTTTGAATTTCTGTCTTATCGTTTGGAATTTTATAAACGAAGACAGCGCAATTGAATATTTGTAAAATTGTTGTTTTTACTAAGTTTAACATCAGTCATAAAAAGGAATGATTGAGCGTATTTTTCTATGTTCATATCTTCTGACTACAGAAAGTTGACCGTTCTCTGCAATAATAAAAATCAGTATGTAAACTTTATTTTTTCTTAGACACAAAAGAAAAAAACTAATGATAAACTATAAGGTATGAGGAAGAAAAAATAAACACAACTAGTCTTTACAATGATATATGAAAAAAAGTATTCAAAATTTGACGAAAATTTACATGCCTTTGAAACCGAGACAATCAAGTTTCTTTTAAATACAAGCTTTCGAACATTGAGGCTACTAGTTCGCTCACTAATACCTTCCCGAACGTCTGTGTATATATAAACATGATTAAATCTCCATCCATGCTAAAAACAGAAAAAACGAAGTGATCAAGATGTGTACTGACTAATTCAAGTGAGATGTTATTATTCGCCAGGCATCGTTTGATGTACTGGCGTCGTCTTCTTGGTCTCAAATGTATACATATGTAAATAAATCCAGTAATTGACACAACTGAGACAAACACGAGCTATAGCCAAATAATAAAAAAGACCTCTGCATTAATTTTGTTTATTGGCATGATGCATTGTACTAGTGTGTCTTGAATATGACCTCCTAAATGGAATTAAGAAATAAATTTTTGAAATCCCAATCAAAGCAAAAAAACATACGTTGCCGTCTCAATTGAAAATTGCATAATACGGCGATCGGAAAACGATTTCTAATTTCAAAATCTTGCCCATGGTATAAATCTATGATTACATTGAAACCGAATACAGAGAATGGTGTGCCGAGAAGAAGATTGAGTAGAAACAGTTGACCAATCGAACTGGCAATCGTGAGAAGTTATGCCAAAATATAATACAAAATCAATGAAGCACCCTGATTACATGGTGAACACCGGTTGAGTAATTTTTTCACTCTGCTTTCTCTTTCCGGTACGAACGAACGTCGTTGAGATAGTAGCAACACTTTAATGGTGTATGTAGCCATTTCATATAAATGCGCTTTACGAGTTTGCCCTAAAACAACAGAATTCTAGCTGCTGATGTTTAGTTTGAGAATTTGCCTGATTAAAAATACTTACCAGTGGTCTGGTTGATCGCTGCAACTCGTTCGCGTATGAAAGAAACATTTAATCCGTTCGTTGATGAGATAGTGATCCAAAAAGAAGTTGGAGCGGAGATGAGAAATATCATGACTAACAAAATCAATGGAAGCCATTGATGGTAAGGCCTGTAATTGAGAAGAAGCTTTTGATCCTGTATACATGCACAAGAAAGACTCAGATGTTTGAGATTCGCACTTACGTGATGGCATCTACCGGAGAATTTAGCGATTTGTCGATGCTGATATAAAATGTAGAGCTAGACCAACAATGAGCTTCGATTAATTGTCGCAAATCATGATCGTGGAAATCATCACTATAACAAATAATTGGCCGAGTAGACCATAGACACGACGTTAACACGATAAGAGCCAATATCAACACGAAAATACTGTATCTTCGATTTAATTTATCGCTGAGATCTTCGGGTATTGCTGAGTTGAATTTATCCTTCCAAGCTTCTAACAATACGAATTGCATGTTTGAGTGCTACAGAAAGAGCATAACATTGATTATAAGCTTTGTTTGAGTATATTGACAGTTTTTGGAGCTTATGTGAATTCCTAATATCAAGAAAACTGTACTGTTATTAATAGGAAATAGTAAAATCAAGAGGACCTGCATATAGGTCGACAAATCTTGTCAAATGATCTTGCCAGATCTTGTGTGGTCTTACAAGATCATATCACAAGATTTCATATGATCGTACAAGATCTTGCAAGAATGTGTGATAGGAGGAGTATTGTAGTGTTCTATAAATTTTCTTTAGCTCCTCTTAAAAAAATATCTTTCTCTGTTCATAATATTTTCTAACATAGGTAAGACACAAACGTCCTTAGAATCGTGTCTAACCACGTTACTTATCGCTATGCACTTTATTTGATGTGTCAACTTGTAGACAGAAAAATTTCTAAGTTTTGTCATAAGAACTATATTATATATACATATGTATATATTCCATATCATGGCAAAACTTACGTGGTAAGAATGAGTAATCGCTTCTTGCAAGATCTCATAAGATCATACGCTTTCGTGTTACAAGATTTCAGAAAAACCGGCAGATCTTGTAAGATGAACTCCACCTGGGTAGGAGTTGTGTAGGAAAATTGTGATTGACATGAATGTAAATCTGTCTAAAGTAAACTGAGGTCAGGGAAAGGATAAACGATAAAAACGATATTTATATATTTATATTATAGTACTTTTAACGTTTGTGTTGAGTAAAGGCTGAATGTTAGAAATTTATGGTAGTTGTATAATATACACTTACTAATATAGTAAATCAGTATTTTTCTTCAAATTGGATTCCTTTCTTATATACTTCTTTCTGATAACCAAGGATGCAGTATGAATGAGAATACAAAATTTGTTTATTTTTTAGTCTAATTAGAATGATGATTTATTAAACTGACACTGGTAGAAAAAAAGTAAATTTCATTATGTGGATGAAGACGTGGTCAGGATAAGAAATACAAATGGAGCATAGTCTGATAATAGTCGCGTACGTTGTAGTACTCTACTAACGTAATTATTAAATAATATTAATTTACACGATGTATTCTCAGAAGATGTACCATCGTAAGCTGGCAATTTTGTCTTAAATTTTTAAAGTGAATCGATAGGTGATCTAATTGCCCCCCTTTAGCCCACAATGAGATTCCAGATCAAGCTGCAACTTCAACTGTTCATGGATTATCCTCGTCAGTCGCAGAACCCACTTTGAATGCTGTCCTGAGTCAAATAGCAACGAATTTGCGTCAAGATAGCGAAAGTGGCAATGAGATTCAATTTCATGATCAGAATCGCTATTCACAGCCGAAACGGCGGTCTCTTCTAATATGGAACAAGATTTCTGCCTTACTGGTACTAATCTACAGAACTAAAATTCTTGCTGTTTTTTCCACACCATCTATACTATTTAGATCAACATCGGAAGACAAATGTTAATGTCGCACAGATGATGAACTTGTTACAGTAAGAAACCAAGATGTTTAAGTAACAGAATTTAATATATTCTTTTTTTTTGGCAAAGAGTACCTGAAAGCAACGATGTTGACGCAACTGTACATGTCCCTCGTCTGTGTCATATGCAGTTGCGTCCTGCTTTCCAAGCTTATGGTTTTTACCTGAAAAAGGCTAATAAAAACACACCTGATTATCACATAATAAGTGATGTTTTTGGTAATACATCGGCTCAAGCAGCTGGTCTAAAAGTGAACGATCAAATTATAGAAGTTAACAATGAAAATGTAACGAAACTAGATCAGGCTGAATCAAAACAACGGTGCATACAAAAAACTGGATCTAATGAGTGTACTGTATTGGTTTTGGATCCAGTTTGCAACAAAAAGCTGTCCCAAATTAATGTAACAAGCTCCAATAAAAATGTCATTCATTGCGGAGTACGAGCGATTTCTGGTTAGTGTTGTAGCGATTGTTAACCAGAATTTTTTTGAATAGTGCTTTTTGTGTGTAGAATTAAACACGGGTAACATCCAGAATGCACAAAACAGATCATCAATGTCTTCATCGAATAATTATCTTCTGTCAATGTTTCGACCACCTAAATCAATGACACTGAAAGCAACCGACAAGCCACTGACGATACATTCTCAGTCTGTTGCGCCAAACGGAAACTATTTGCTTTCACTCTTTCGACCAGAAGAATCTGAGGTCGACTGTTGCCATACCGCAATTAGCTTTCGCTCCAAGTCCGCCGGTGCATCAAGAACCCGTTTCACAAGGACACTCACAGAGTAACATATTTCCTCCTGCGATGACTAACGTTGTTCCTGCACCTAGTACATCATCTTCGATTACGAAACCAAAACAGGTTAAGCTTAACGTGCGCGATCTATCTGTTAATCTGATAGAAGCTTTCGTACTCGTCCAAGAAAGTCGATCGTCACAAAGGACGTCAACCGAAACTGCGCCTCCTTGTCTTGAGGTGATTCACGTATGGATCAGAGCAGACGAAAATGAAATTTTGGATCGATTTAGCAAATAGAACATGTTATCTTTCTTTCTATATTGTTTATTGGTGATTAATTGTATTTTCAATACTTCAGGAGAAACCTTCAACTTGTGACATACAATTACATTTACAGAAAAGAAATGCAAATAAAGTGAATACAGAGTCTATGATAGACTTTGAGTTGCCGACACGAAAACCAGATCTATCATTTGCTGCTGACGAAATGATATTGGGTGAGTAAATCTCCAAGTGAATGACCTTTTTTTTTTTGATATACATTCAGATTCTGCTTTTGCTTTCTATGATTGTTTTCATGCAAAAAACGAGACTTTTAGTCGTGCTAGCGAAAAGGCGATGTGGATGACCGACGAAGAAATATAAAGGGTTGATACTGATGTTTTTTCAAAACGTTTTCTTCATGTAGGCACGGTTGATAATGATTCAAAGGAGTTAGGAATTAAGAAAGTATCTTCGCAAGTAGAAGATAGGATGGGGTTAGTTGCTTTGCAAACAAAAGGTTCGGCAATTTATTACCTTCTTACTAAGAAGAAGCGATTAACAGTAAGATACAACTTTCTACATTAGATAGCTCTACGGGAATTTTACAAAGAATCGACACTAATGTATTTGTGAATGATTTTAATCACTCAGAAGACCGCATCTCTGGAGCTGTTAGAAAAGATGATAGAAGTACGTATAGATACTACTGTGTGGCTTTTGGAACAACTGCTTACATTTAATTTGATTTAGAGATACTGCACAAACTTCGATTCGATTGTCGTTTACATTTCCATGGTTTACAGAATCTCGGGAACACTTGCTATGTGAACTCATCGATACAGTTCTTAGCTAATACTTTGAGCTTGACAATTTTATGGCCAAATGCCAATGATGCTACTACGCATAGTAAGCTATTTGAAGTATTGATTAGGATGAATCTATAATACGTCTAAATTACCGGTACAAAGATAGCGTTGATTAAAGATTGCTTGCAAGACAACTCAGGATTATAAAAAAAGGTTTTTCGATTCGAAATTTGGTATCTGTCTCCTAATTAATTTGCTCAGTTTCAGATCTACCTTAGCATTGTGATCGAAAGTATTAAAAATGTAGTGTAGAGCAATACATTATGCCATTAAAGGAGAACTCCGATCTTTTCTCCTTGAGTTCTTGCTACAAATATGTGTACTACAACTGTTGTTTTTCTTTTGAAAAAGATTTGCAGAGAATCAGAGATGAGCTCGCACTTAGGTCCTAAACGAGTGTATCGGTCTTTATTACTTAAATACATTCTGTTGCCTTAGTATTGTCACTCTTCTCAGTACTATTGCTCGGTTTAGATGAAACGTCATGTATGCAATGTATGGTAGGAAACCTTATGTATAACGTTCGCTAACCAGGTGCGAAGCCAGTGTTTCCAAGTACGTTCATCGATAAGATTAAAATATTAAATGATAGATTTGTTGCCCCAATACAGCAAGATCTAGATGAATTTCTTCAATTATTGCTCGTCCGAATGATCAATGATGGAAAGCGATGTTCTTCATGTCTTCAACTTACCAACATGCTAAGAAATTCAACGAGCGGATCACAAGATTTAACGATTATCGATCATTCATTCAATATGCAATTAGCAACGTATTGCATTTGTGAAAGTAAGACATGCGGTTATGTATCCAGAAGTGAAAGTAATGACCATTTTCTACGGATAAGTATAACACAGTCCACTCTGCTTGGGTGTTTAATGGATTTTTTCGAAGCTGAACAGCTTGTAGACGCCGCAGATTGTGACAGATGTAAACAGAAAAGCTTACGCTGGAAAAAATTCTCTATTTCTAACCTTCCAAACAATATAGTCATAGTGCTAAAGCGTTTTGACTATGAGCTTGATTTAAGTAAAATTTCGACACCAGTCGCCATTCCTGATCGTATTAATATCAAAGAAATTATTGATGAACATGTATATCCAGGATATCTCGCCAGATTAGATTACGCCGTATATGCCGTGATTGTACATAAAGGTAGCAGTTGTCATCAGAGGCATTATTATCTGTATGTTAAAAACTCTGACGGAAAATGGGTTTTGATCAATGATGATAAGATTTACAATGTATCATTGAATAAAGTGCAAAGTGAGATTACAGATGCTTATATATTGTGTTATGAGAAACTAGAAAGAACAGCAGCAAAAGTGCAAACAATTCACCAAAATCAATTAGAACAGTCAGGTATCATCATTATCAGGATGTTTCATATGCAGATGTTTTCGTTCAATATCGATGAACGGTTAAAAAAGACCGACCTAAATACTAAATAATTCTTGTATTTTCACCATTATTTAGATACATCTGAGAATATAGATCCGAACGTTCACACTAGTCAGACCAATACTTCTTTGGGGCCACAGACGCAACCTCTTGGCAAACGAAAAAGTTAGTATATGAATTAAAACACTAGTAGAGTATATTTCTTTTTACATCAGGTATAATAGATTCTGCCGAAAATATATCAGCAAAAAATATGGAAACAGATGACAAAGGTAAACATTTTAAAAGTAATCTCTTCTTTCTTTAGCAGTAGTAGATGTTTTAAGCTCTTCCGCTTCAGTTATAAATACGTTGCAGTCATTGAACAGATATCCATAGCAAGTAGATAAAAGTGGCGAAGAGAATTTCTAGGATATCAGACATAACTCTCAATTGACACTTAGGTTAAGACGATAAATTTTAAATCTTTTATTTCATGGTTCAAGTATGCTTTTATTTACCGTTAGATGAGTGAATAATATCTTATTGCTGACATCTAAGAGCCTTTATTCGAGTCAAGCATACTTTCTATTGTATTTGCAGATTATGCTATTCAATCCACGACAAACAGTTCCATGAATTTTGAAGCCGTAACATTTCCTATCAAAAAGGAAGAAAATTGAGGAAGGATTTGTTCCTATGCGCGACGATCAAGATTTGGAAGTGCATGCAATCAGACCTGCTAGAGAGCAGTGGAGCAACGATTTTTCTGACGAAGCAGGTGGAGAAGGTATGTAATGTTCACTTAAATCTATTTATTCATATATTTAACGTTAATAGACGAAGTTTTGGAAGGAGAAGATATTTTACAACCTATGTCTATATCGCAAAGTGGAAATAGCAAGAAAATACCAGCTACTCAGGAGTTTGAAGATTCAGGTATGATATACTTAATACTTCTCTTTTATATGTTCTGAAAAAGATGATGGTGAAAAGCTACTGCCATTTGATATAACCGCTGATGATCTAAATCAGAAATAATATGAGATATACTAGGAACTGACACAGATGAAGAATTATTTCGAGAAAAAAAAAATTATTCGTAAAAAACAAGATATTTTAGAAGATAATGAACATGATTACGCAATGAATCGTACGACCTCGTCAAGAATTCTAACTTCTGAGGCCATCTCAAACTTGTTAGGGGTGGATGTACCTGATAAGTTTTCGAAATCGGTCTCAGAATATAAAAAATTAAAATTAGCATCGGGACATCTACAAACTATCAAAGAAAGATGCATTATTAAGCAACAAGAAAAGCAGGCAAAACAACAAAGTGGTGATAAATCGGACTCTAAAAAGCGAGATTTTACGGTACCAGAGATTGTTATACAATACGTTAAGACAATCAATCCGTACTGCAGTTTACAAACATATACAAACAAGTTTACAGTTGCCACTGAACGGAATTCTCCTGGTCATTTAATGCGAACTGTTGGCTATTGCGGCATAAAAAATCCGGATTGTCCATTTCGGTTTACCGTTGATATCCACATGAACGGTGACGTTTTCATCAACACAAATGGTGCGCTTATTCATGCAGTTCAAAGCGCGTTACATCCGTAAGCCAGAACGGCAAGCATTGAAAGAAGCATTCGAACAAGGAGCCAGTCCAACTCTAGTATTTCACAAGCGTTTAGCGCAAATTCCAAGGAATATTTTAAAAGCTGGAAATTTAGATGGTGCTGGAAAAAGTGTAGCAATATATCAGAAAATTGCCGCGTTTAACGAATCCGCTTCGTTCAATAACTGTGCTACTAGACTGTCCGATTTAAAACAAAAGTATAGACAACAAATCATGCCTCACGGTCCTGTTCCAGGGATCATTCAACGCGTAGGCTCCGATCCATTAATAGTTATCTGCCTCACGTCGACGGCATTAGCCTTATGGGATATGCATGCTACTGATGAGAATGCTGAATTTACATGGGACGCTACCGGAAACGTTGTTCAGTGTCTTGATCTAAAGAAGAAAATATTATATTATGAGTTGACAATGGCAAACCCAATCAAGAGGGGGACGCCCATTCCATTAACATTTCTTTTATCCGAAACCCAAGATGCTGTTACTATTAAACATTGGCTTGAAACATTCAAACAACTCTACTTGAAACAGTACGATTCTACAGACAAAAACAAAAAAAAAAGTTGTTTCCAACTCCCAAGATTATTATCAACGATCGTGCTCAGGTGCTCATTCAATCAGCTCTAGAAGATAGTTTTATCGAGGGTGTAGTTGAAAATATTGCTGACTTTTTAATTAGTTTGATCAAAACACTTTTAAGACAAAAGAGAATCACCCAGCGGAGGAGCAAGAACAACAAAATGTAGTTTTTCGAAAAACCGACAAATCCAAGATATTTCACCTAGATCGCCCTGAGGTATATGCTCAGAAGTCAGCCCAGTATATGGAAAAAACAAAAGCATACGAGGAAATTCCGTCCAATCCCTTACCAAAATTACTAGATGACACTGAGAATTTGCTCAAAACACTTTTAAAACAAAAGAGAATCATCCAGCGGCAGTATGAGTTAATGAAACCATCACGTGAGAATGCAGAGCTACCCCACCTTTACTACAATCGAAAAAATAATAAAATTGGTGAACCCCTTCGACCCATAGTTAGTGGTATAAAATCACCCACAGCAAAAATTTCTTCATTTTTGGATCAACTAATACGACCTATTTTCAATCGAGAAACTAGTCATTATACGTTAGAAAACTCCCTAAAATTCTTAGACCAATTAGATAATTATAACTGAAACAAAGCAATTTACCTTCGATATAACCGATCTCTACATAATGATCCCCCAAGCTGAATCCGTAAGTACAGTAGGCGCTTTTCTAAGAAGAACAAGAAATAAGTTCATAGAAGGAATGTCCATAGACACTATCACCCGGTTACTTAGATTTGTCCTTGAGAATGCATATTTTGCGCTAGGTACTACCTATTACAAGCAGATTAGAGGTGGAGCAATGGGTAGTGCAGTAACTCAAGACCTAGCTGACATCTATGTAATGGACTGGGAAGGTGAACTTTTAGAAAACCAAATAGCTGATAAAGAACTCTATTTTCGCTTCCGAGATGACATCTACCTAACAACCCGTAGAAACCTGATCGAGTTTTGCCACATTCTTGATAAAATGGATGAAAAAGACCCCAACATTAAGATCACTTATGAGACAGGAGATTCGGTTGATTACCTTGATGTTACAGTTATAAAGCAACCTCGTAGAACCTCTTTCCGCACAATAGTCTTCAGAAAACCCGCAGCTCAACCTTATGTCCTACCTTTTGAATCTTCTCATCCCTTGATTTGATTTGATTTGATTTGATTTTTATTTCGACAACAGCAGTTTTGAATGGAAAAGAGTAAACTTTAGTATTACAATACAAAAATTTAACTAATACATAAACATGTTGTCAGGAAAGCAAAAAAGGTTTT